GACGACAGATTGATATTATTATTGCCGCGATTGTGCATCGCCTCGCGCCGTCTCAGGCCACGTCTTGTGTCGAGCTCTTTCTTTCTCTCCCTGCAAGTGTAAATACGCGCGGTAGTCCCCTTGATATCCGTCGGTATATATATAACCCATGCAGACTTTCTTCTCTCTAGAAATTATTTTTTTAACATTTTAGATTTACTCTTAGACTATTTTAATGGTACATTAGATCTCTAAGATTGTTATCTTTTCTCCCCGGAACACGCGTTGCAAACCGATACTTCCCATTTTAGCGCGTAAGGCTGGTATCAATAGTCTTGACTTGAAACTTGAAATGTAACTTGAAACTTAGCTCTGATGAGATACTCATATTTAAACTTATAGTTAGATGTAAGGTCTTGTTCTTCTTTTCTTTTTTCTCCCTTTTCTTCCTCTATGACTTTTTAGTTGAATCGCGATTACAGATACGACGTCGTGTAACATTTCTGTGCAGAAGGAGCGCAAGGACTCCGTCGTGTCGCGGCGACTATTATTGCGTGAGCATATTTTCCGCTTCTCGTCTCCTCTATTTTCTTATTTCACTTTCTGCTGGTAGTTCGTAAGTGTTGAGCGCGATGTTGCCCGTATCGACGCCAATTATCGCCGAAATGATCTCATTAATCTCTGCGCGAGCCGCTCGTGATTCCTCTCCTCGTTTAAAAGCAATTGAAAATTCTTCTTCGGGAGGAGGAGGAGGAGGAGGAGGAGAAGAAGGAGAGGGGAGGGGAGAAGGGACGGAGAAAGGTCGTCGTCGTCGGCGGAGCGAACGCGCACGCGGGACGTCCTCGTTGCAGGAGCGTGGACGGAGCGCGGCGAAGGGGATGTGTGTGAGAGGGTAATTTCGAGCAATAAGCGATAAACTCAAACTTTCAGATACATTACTACGAGTATTACTACACGATAATACAAAGATCGCGCGAGCCGCGCGCAATCGCGATAGATGGCGGATAGTCCTAGGATACGCGAAACGATAATATCTATGCGATGTATCTGTTCGATGCGAGAGAGTCTGGATGAGAGAGAGAGAGAGAGAGAGAGAGAGAGAGAGAGAGAGAGAGAGAGAAATATATATATGTACGGACGAGAAGCGAGACGCGAGACAGTGCGTCTAGGAGCGGAAGGATCGAGCGAGTGCGGTGCGCAAGGACGATAAGAGCAGGAGGGGCTGACCCCTCCAAACGAAGAGGAATATACTGTAGTGATATATACTTTAATATGCGCATATATATGCATATACATATGTATACACATATATATATACATATGGAAAGATCATATATATATATATATATATGTACATATATATGTATGTGTGTAACTATATACATACACCGTAACGTTTAATGACAACAAAACTCGTGAGTGATATTTATAACATATTAAGGATACATACATTATACAAAATAAGTGCGGACACAAGAGCGTTACGAACGAAGGAACACGAGGGAACAGGCGAAAACTTCGCGTATGCGCTTGATGCTTCTAGAGAGAAAGAGAGAGAAACGAACAAAAGACACGACGACGACGACGACTACGACGAGGTAATGACGTGCGAATTAACGGAGAGCAGTGTCGCGAGTGAAGATCGGTTGAGAGGTGTGCGTCTTGTTCCACTGATCATTCTCCGACTCTGTGTGCTTCTCGTATGCCAATCATGTGGAATATTCGTGTATGGGTTGCGTACTTGACAACGGGCCTACGCCGCGAGAACACCCTCGACAACACCGACGAGACATCTTCGTTCTCATTCCTCCCGCGCCTTGACTCCATCTACCTCTCTTCGTCTCTTGTCCCTTTTCCGTTGATTCCTCGATCCCTCTCAACACTGACAAGGAGAGATGCTTGAAAATTTATCTGCGCGATACAAGTTTGTTCAGAGAAATAAATTCCGTTTCGCAGGAACGATTTTCACACTTTGTGTCTCGCGGACGAATTTTCAAGTGTCTGTTCCCGAGTGCACCTCTCTCCCTCTATCTCTCCCATCTCGCGAACTCCGCGAGAACGAGAAATGAGCTTCCGGACGGAGAACTGTCCGTTAACACGACTTCCTTCGGTACTTTCGTAGTGATGCGCTCTCACGAGCTGAAGAGAGAGAAAGAGGAAGAAAAGAAGAGGGAAACGCAGCACGTCGTGCTCGGGGGTGTTCCAGCGGCCGAGGCCCACGAGAGTCTCGCCGGTACCGGCGAGCCGTCGACCGAGCCTTCCGCGATGTATTTATTTCCGCAGTTGCCTTCCGGAAGGACAATTCCAGGTTCTCCACGCCGAGATGGTGGACGCTCGCTCGACGGTACCGCGCGCGTCTCGCGGGACTTCCTCGGGGAGAGAATGCGGTAGATTCTTGGGGCTCGGCGATCGAGTCTCGGGGTGTCGACTTGCAGTCCCGACTGGAGGACTGGAGCATTTCGCCTGGTTTCTGTACGTTCTACGCGGCTCGAGACGAATCGTACGAGTTCAGCAACGTCTCCGGATAATGGACCGCTGAGATGGGCACCTGCCCGCATAGAAATTTCTTAGTATTTTCTCAAGCAGGTTAGATTCCAATTAAAATGCCCAACCTTGTCCCAAAATAGATTGTCTCACTACGAATTGAGAATCCTATTGTTGTCCCAAATATGAGTTCTCTGTCTAGAATCGGAACAGAAGTGTTAAAGAGATTCGAGCCTTTTTAAGTGTCTTCTGCATCAATTTCATTAATGCGATAAAGACAATACAAATGTTTTCTCCAACTTACATTGTTCCATGTTAAAACGTAAAATAATATATTTTCGTTTTATATATGTAAAAATATGGAATACATTTATACATTTGAGGATAATTTAACGATTTCATACATTTGTAAGTTGGAAGAATTCGTCGAATATTTATATATATATTTTGTTTACTTCCTTAGCTCGAACGCCTTCTGTTACAATGTCTTCATAATGATTTTTTTTCCGCAATTATTTTAACTACTTACTCTTTACGAGTATTTATGTGTACATATATACTTGTAACAAGTAAATACTCAAAGTGTTTCATGTATTTTGCTCAACTTTAATTTAAGATACAAATCAGAACAAATCTTTGGGACAACGTTGGAGATGACTAAATCTATTTACCCATTTAAATTCGCATGTTTAAACATTACACTTCTAACCAGAACCTGCATAGATTTCTCACTTAGAACCTATGAGTGTTGTGGGACATGGATCTCAATTAGATTCCAAGATAGTTTCTATGCGGGTGCTCCTACGTCTTGAAAAGAAATTCGGCGATGTATCCGGTACCTTGAGGGAATGGAGCGGAAATTTGAAGCAGAAAACTGAGAAAGGAGAGAGGCACGGTATTCCTCTCGGCTCGACGAAGCGAGAAATCTTGTGGAATTTCAGCAATAAATTTAGCTGTACGGAGAGAGGGTAGGCTAGGTCGTGTATGTCTGCGCGACGTCTTCGAGTTATGTACCGGGCTTTTCGGGGACGTCTTATCGCCCTGCGTCTGGGAGACGTGACGATTTTTACTAGACTCACACCTGCCGTGACGACTTCGCAGATCTGGCGGCTGCTACGTGTGGGGGG